TGTTACAGGAATCACTTTTTCATTTTATTCCAATAAATCACTTTTAAATCAAAAATTTTATTACATTTCCATCTTTTCATTTTCGCTGCGGTGGTTTCTTTCTCTATGCAAAGATTTTATCATCTGATTGCAGTCAATATTGCTGTAACAGGCAGTACATGTAGTTCATCACTAGTCAGAGAATGGTAAGGGATTATAGAGCATTTACACTTACAGTATTTAAAATTCATCCCTCTACCTCCCTCCTCCTCCTGCCCTTTGCCAGCTGTACTTTTTTTTTTTCCTTCTATTGACACTTGGATCTGTATTACACCAAAGGCTTTTACTTTTCAGTATTAATTTGCTGAAAAATTCAAAGACATGTTTCTTTTTAAAATAAATATGCTGCTATAAAATGTACTCTTGAGAAACATTTTCATGCTTTATCACAATGAAGAGCTCTGTGTCACTACTAGGTAATAAAATGATTATCAAAGAGCTAAATTGCAGAGGACCAGAAATGCCAGAAGGAGATCATAATGGGATGGGGGGAGGGGGGCGCACGGGGAAGGACCTCACACCTACCAGCAAGTGCTTCCTTCAAATTGAATAGGATTTTGACAGACATTATTTTAAAATCCACCCCACAACAAAAAAAGTTGGCAAGACCTGCCCTACCCTGATGCCCATACAAGCTTTCTTTCTTCGACATAAAAAAAAAAAAAAGCATTTCTGTAGAGCCCTCCTAATTTAAACACGTATCTTGCCAAATGGGGAAGGAATGAAGAAAAGAGTGCAGTGATGGAAAAACCTGTCAGTCTGCAAGATACCCTTTCTTCTTACTTTGAGCAACTTTTTTAAAACACAACTAGAACTCTGTTAGATTCTCTCACAAGAACAGCATGAATATAACTACTGAGCATGCAGGTAGAGCACATCAGGAAACAAACACAGGAAAATGATGAACAGAAAAGATGATGAAAACGTAGGAAGGCATCATTAATTACAAGTAACAGTATTGTGCTTTTCATTTAATTATGTAACATGAGAATGTAATCACTGCCCTTCTTCTAAAATAGCTCTGAAACTCTTTTGTGAGATTCCCTTCTGAGAAAATAATCATCTTGAACGTTCAATTTGCGAGCTGGGCTGTATTTTTAAAGGTGCTGTCCTCCCTCATGAATGCGTTCCCTCTGGAATAGAAAGGTTCTCTACGTAATCTGAAGGAGCATGTTGAGAAAACAGTCTCCTTTCCTCCTCCCTGCTGAGAGAGATTGCTCTCGTAGAAGACAACCAGCACACCACGTTCTCCACACGTATTCTTTTCTGGTGAGAGACATTTAAACCGCTTCGATTACTGAGGGATATACAGACCTACAGAAATGATTTTGACTACAGGTGAGAATATCCTCAGCCTTGACAAGAAAGAGGGGAATACACGGGGCTAATTGTCTTCCCCCTTTTGCAGCTCATTTCTCAGTTGCAATCAATTTTCATCATCAGACCCACTACTGCTGCCTTGCACAAGTCTACCACTTTGCTGTTTTTAAGAAGTTTCTTTTGTAACATTGTAGAGGCTCATATCACTGCCCTAAAAATAATCCTACTTATTGTTTAACAGAATACAGTTACGTCTGTTTCAACCTAAATGTATTCAACAATCAGTTAACACCAATTTTTCTTCAGCCAGCTTCTTCAGCTTTTCTAGCTTGAATAACTTTTTCTTCTCATGCGTACTCCTCTTAGTGTTTATAGACTGAAATCATACCCCTTGTCACCTTCTATTTCACTAAATGAACCATTTTTATTCCTCTCTCATAAACCAGATTCTCCAGTCTACTGATCACCCTTAGAGCCCTTCTTTGCACCTCCTGCAGTGTGATTTAATCTTTTCTGAACAATAATGACCCGAATTGCACACACTGCTTCAGATGAGATCAGACCACTGCTTTATCTGCAGTATCTACTGGAAATATCTGACCTGTCATGTCCTATGCTTTTAATAACTTCTTTTTTGCTGCTGGATCACATTTATGACTTAGTCATCTTCAACTAATACAAGCAGGACTTTCTACCCCATCATCACTTTCAGCTGATAAGAAAGTACTACCAGTCTCCTTGCACTTTATGTTATTAAAATTAATCCCATTGTATTATTTAGGCTCTCAAGGTCACCCAGTCTTGATCCCTCTCTTATTGAAAATGTCTCACTATGCTGTGTCATCAGCAAATTTCATTAATACAACTCAGGTTTTTGTACCTACATCATCAATGGAAATTCCTGACCGAATAAAGATCTTCTGATGGGTATACAATAAGTTTTTTGCTTCTACCTCAAATGTGGTAACTTTCATGCTCACATCTTCTTTCTCATTAGACACTGCTTTAATTTGCTTTTGTAAGGAAACTCAGCTGGACTTCTGACATTTCTCACTTCATCCTTACATTTCTTAACATTTAAGCCATCATTTTCTTCCCTTCATTTCAAGCTTTTGTTTATTCCCAACACCTCTTTTGAAGTGGCTCTTTATCCAGCTGGGAGTGACCGTCTCTCTTGCTTGAGATTTAAATTCCAGATTTTTTTTTTTTTTTGTCAATAGCTTTAAATAGATGCCAAGCCTTTTCCACGTACAAGTGCTCAACCACATAAATGCAACTATCATCACTAATTAGAGCTCCCCTGCTTGGTCAGTTTGACTTTTGAAATTAAGAACTTTACTTATCAACTTAATTTGCTCCAAGCAGTATTTTTCTAACAATCTTATGAAAAATCTGTTTTTCTCCAGATTTGAACCCAAACGTCTGTAGCAGATCCTCATGCTCTCTAACAGAAGCTCTTTGCCATCTTCCTCTAACATTGACCAAACAAGTTTTTACCTTTCCTATCACTATTTCTTCCTTTGCTATTTATCACACTGCAAATCGTAATCCTCCATAAATCCTTTTTTCCTCCCAAACATTACAGCTGTTTTAACATTTGTGTTCCTGTCCTAATTTCAATTCCATCACATTTTCTATTAGCTCTAAAGGATCTAGTTTAAGAACTAGCTTTAGTCACTCTAACTTTGCTGCCTGGGCTCCAATACAGAACAACATCACAGTTGTTTCTTATTAACACAACATTCACCCTGGAACAGGTATAGTCCTCCTTTTAATTATCAGCTACGTATAGTCTAAGTAACACTCTCATCAATATTCCAAACTTTTCTCTTTGCTGTCCACTGCCCTAACCTCTGGTGTTCTTATTCCTGTTTACCCGATTTTTCTCTTCTTGTATCTTAAAACCAACAGTGGGATATTGCATAAGCATTTCCCAAACCTGTTTCTTATTTTAAAACTATTTCTAGACATTGATAAGTAAATACCCCATGCACTTACACGGGAGCTTAGATCAGGAAGACTCCTTTCTCCTCTAACCTATCTCTAGTGAGGCCCAGGATCCCAAAAACGTATAACCGAAGTATCTGAAGAGCCATGTGATATTCTGTCACTTAATGGCACAGGTTGATCTGAGATACGAGAATTTAAGCAGACCTAAGAAAACACCATAGCGCAAAAACACTGCATCAGTCAGGCAAGCGGCAAGAGTAAGAGAGCAGGGAGTATATCTGAATCCCAAAGGAATTTCTGATGAGGAGGAATCTTTACAGCCACAAGCCCTTATCTTAATCTTTATTCTTGGCACACCCCAGTAATAAGCCAGTCAATTCCTTTTAACAAGAAATTCCGTCTTTGTACTGGTGTGAACTTTGGGTTGTTCCTCTTTCACTCTCCACCTTTTTTTCCCCCCTCCTGAACTCTCTCACCTTCTTTTTTTTTTTCTTGTGGGATTCTTTGTCCTTCCCCTCACCCTGACTTCTTCCTGATCTTCTATTTCCGTTTGTTTCTCCGCTGTATTTTCCAGCATAGCAAATCCCTTCCTTGACAATATTTTCCCTGCAACAGCCAGTCTCCCTCGTCTTATATTCACATTCTTTCACTGCCTAGCAGTCTGCTCCCCAAGTCCTTGGAAGTAACAAATATCTGAAAAGCCCCTCTTCCAATCTCTTTCTCGCCTGTCACCTCCAGGCATCAGCTCTTCTCTTCCATGAGCTCGATCTACCACATTGCAGTTTCTAACAGGATTCAAGGATGAGATGAATCCCACGGCTTTTGTATCCGGTCACACCTAGCACTTTTTTCCAGTTCTTCAGGTTACTGTTACACTTGCCTCAGTAGCTGTCATCATATTCTCATTGTTACCAAGGAAAAAAAGGAAGGGGGGGGGGAACACTGCTGTTTGCCATCTTTCCTTCTAGTTACTAACTCCCTTTTTTGTGTGTCTCTTAGGTTTAAGCATAGCAATTAACTGCCTGTTAACTGTGATTAAAGGCAGGAATCCTCCCTTGCATAAGGCCCTGCAGGCCTTAGTGCAAGGCCTCTTCAGGATAGGACAGCTGAAGGACAGGCTCCTTTCCCTTTGATCCTGATGCAAACAAAACAAACAACCCTTACTCTAACATCTCTGAGCGCTAATCTGTTGTATAAGCAAGAAACTCATGTTCCCTGTTTCTCCTTCCTTCCTGGTCTGGGCTCAGTTCAGAAAACCCTCTGGGCAAGGAGCAAACAAGACAGCAAGCTAAAACAATGACAGATTATGAACGTGAGTTTGGCTATTGTGGTTTACCCTTAAGTGAAAATAATTATAAATAATGCAATATAGGACTGAAAGAGTTATCCAGAGGAGATGATATTTTAGCTCATACTGATAAATTAAGTTATTTAGAAGCTTGCATCGTTCATTAGTACTGGTATAACAGGCAGCAAGGAGGCACATTTGGTGGTGAGGAATGCATGCAACCTGTTAGATATTTCTGGTACTCTATTAAGCCTAAGACAAAGCTGAAAAAAGTTCTCCCTGCTTCTGCTTGTGGCAGAACGGTTTTCACATGTACTAAAAATTAAAAGTGCAAATGATTTTAGGCTTTCAATAACAAATAAGGCATTTACTTGATTACTCACATGGGAAACTAGAGACATACCTCTTCAGGCTTAGTGTTATGACCAGGCCCCCAGTGACATCTTCATGATTTTGCATATTCAGTGCTGTTACTATGAATGCCTACACTCGCAGAAGCGGCTCTGCAGTCTCAGAGGAACCTCTCTTCTTTCCCATTCCAATTAGTGCCTGTTTCTTCACACACCTTAGCTTTCAACAGCACACAAGAAACCAGCAAGGCCACTTTTCCTCCACCACAAAAAAAAAAAGGCAGCATAATCATTAAATCAGTCCAACAGTCATGCTGGTTAGTGGGTGAACAGTATGATAGTAAACCTGGGCCTGGGCAAGACCAATTGAAACATTTTGAGGAGTCTGCAGCTACGCTCTCCTCCAGTCAAAGATACATGTCATGCCCGATTTAAATTAGTGCACAATTCCCAAACATTCCTAGTTTTGCAGATAATGGGAAATGCCCAGATTAATCCAGCACACCTCCTCTCAATGGCCGCTAGCTAAGAGACATCCTCCAACCCTGACAGACAGTGATCTCACTGCAGCCACACGTTCCTTCACTAACTCCTTGCTGAACAGGCACCACGCACCCCTGCAAAACTCACAGAGGGCTGCGAGACATGTGCTGCATACCTAGGCCAACACAAACCCCCCCCCAGAGCCGTTTTCCCCCTCCCCACCGGCTTCAACACCTCAGGCCAACCTTCGGCCTGATGCTCAGGGAAGAAAGACGCCTGCTAAGCTCGTGGGTGACACAGAGGAGAAAGGTTGGCCTGGTCCGTAGACCTTAGCGCCGCGCTGAGGTCACGCACGGGGAAAGAGAGGGACCTCGGCCACGGCGGGCAGCACCACCGTGCAACACCAA